GAGCTACTTTTTCTTGTTCTTACATAATCAAATTTCAACATCCCTTGCAAAAAAAAAGTAAAGTGGACATTCGCGCGCGCAAGACCAACAAAAAACACGACGATCTCAGGAACTTGCCCCAAAAATGTGGCCAACTCCGCTCTCTCTGTCTCTCTCTCTGTCTGCTCTCTGTCTCTCTCTGTCTGTCTGTCTGTGTCATGTATTGTATGTCACAATTGCAGGATGCTGGGCACACGCGCGCCCCGAATAAGTGACCAAGTTCTGTGGGTGTGTACCCCACGCCAGTGTAGTAGCCACGGTCGTCCGCACGCCACGAAGTGAAGTGTCCCAACGTCATAGGGCGGGAAGCTGGGTTTGGGTGGTCGCGAAGAGTCGTTTGGATATTTGGTAGAGCTTGAACTGCCCCCCCACGAAGTGGGGGTATTGTCTCGCGTCGCATGAAAACCCTGGCACTGGTGAGAACACTGAGCGTTCGGGTAAAATGATTGTTGTTGTTGTTGTTGTTGTTGTTGTCGTTGTTGTTGAATTTTCATTTTCTGAAGACTAGCTATTGTTGATCCCCCTCACCGGTGCATGCTGTTTTTTTCTTAATCAAAGTGTGCCCCTCGACGCTCGCATCCTGTTTTTTGACAGGGAAAATCTGGATGCTCAAACTCTGCCCCTGGCCCCCTAGATTACAACAACAACAACGGCTCCCGCCTGAGAACTCCTCCAAATTCACTCACCCCTGCTCCCGCCGAAGAATTCCTTACAATTTACTCAGGATCGGTACTCCCGCTTGTGACTTCCTCACAATTAAGTCAGGACCCCCGCTCCCATCTGGGACTTCTTCACAATTTAAGCACGCACGGCGCTCCCGCTCGAGACTTCCTCGCAATTGAGCCACGACTTCTTTGCAAATTAATCAAGACCCCCGCTCCCGCCAGAGAACCCCTTCACATTTTATTCATGAATTGCGCTCTCGCCTGTGACATCCGGGCAATTATTCAGAAATCGCGCTTTCGACGCTCACGAATCACGCTGCGCCAATGACGCCGTCACAATTTACTTAGGAATCGCGCTCTCGCCATACTGAGGCATCCCGCTTGAATGTCCCACCCGCCCGACCCGCCGGTCAGGGGATCGCCCGCCCGTCGTGGGCTCCCGCCCGTGATTTCCTTCAGGAACGGCGTTTTCGCTTAGGACTTCCTCGAACGTTCACGCTCTTACCTTCCTGCTCCTCCTCCCTCTCCCTCCTCCCTCCTCCCTCCTCTCTTCCGTTCTCTCTCCCTCTTCTCTTCCCTCATACTTATGTCTCTCTGCCCTCTCCCTCCTCTCCCTCCTCTCCCTCCTCTCCCTCCTCCCTTCTCCCTCCCCTCTCCTGCCTCCTCCCTCCCTCTTTTTTTTGTTCTCTCTCTCTCTCTCTCCCCCTTTTTTTTTGTTCTCTCTCTCTCTCTTTTTTTTTTTTTTTCTCTCTCTCTCTCTGCCTCTAATCAGCCGCCCCCCTCTTCGCTCCTTCTCTCATGGCGTTGTCCCTCTTCCTTCGTCCCTCCCCCTCCCTTCCTCCCGCCATCCCTCGTTCTCCCCCTCCTCATTTTTGCAGGGCCCACACCAATTCCAACGGCGGGCACATGTACCCCCACGAAGGATTGTCCGCCCGTTCAGGTTTGCCCGCCTGTCTGAACCCGCCGCCCCCTGCAAAGAGAAATAATCCCCCAGCAGGGGGTGTGATCGAAGACAAAAAGGGCGGGTATCGAGGGTGTGGGGAATTCGTTTTTAATGACACACGGGCAAGTAAGAGCGAACATAATTTTAATGATTGTTGTTGTGGATGTTCATGGTGGTGATGATGATGCTGATTCTGCTGCTGATGATGATGCTGATGTTGATGCTGGTGTTGATGATGCGGATGTTGCTGGTGACGATGATGAGGATGAATATGGCGATGCTGCTGATGATGATGATGCTGATGATGCAGACGATGATGCTGATGATGCTGATGGTGTTGCTGCTGCTGATGATGGTGGTGGTGGTGGCGATGCTGTTGGTGATGCTGGTGCTGATGTTGGTCATGATGATGCTGGTGCTGCTGATGGAGGTGATGGAGATGGTGATGGTGATGGTGGTTATGATGCTGATACTGACGCTGATGCTGCTGCTGATGGCGAGGAGGATTATCATGCTTATGATGGTTACGATAATTATGGTGTGTGTCAGGAGGATGGGTCGATCTCCCCAGTCTTTGCTGGTTGCCTTGGTTATCTTGGCTGTCTTCCTTCGTTTCTCCTGGGGCCCTCGGGTTGGCCAGTGGGGCGTGCAACGAGGAGGATTTCACGCGCCCGCCGGACTACCTCAAGGAGAGCGAGCTCATCGAGAAGATGGACAGGCCAGGGAGCGGCCAGAGCTTTGCTCTGCGCGCTCTCGTGGACCGGTCGTGTTTTCGCTCCGTTTTCGCTTGGCTCTCGCTCTGGGCCCCACCTTGGGTTGACAGCCATTCGGGAGGCATGCCAGATTACTGTGCTGGGTGATCTCCTGGGCTGTTGTTTGTTATTTTTCGTCTGGAGACAGAAGGCACAACGATCACGCACAACGCAGTTTGGGCCCCCTGCTCTGTCCCCCCCTGTCTCTCGCCTCCCTCCCCATTATTCTGCTCCTCTCCCCCCTGCCTCCTCCTCTCCCGCCTCTCCTCCCTCCCCTTCGGCCCGCCGCTTTGCTGTCGCATCGCCTCAGCCGTTGGCGCTGTTTCTGGTCCTGGCCTGCCGTTTCGGCCGGTCCCTGCCAGTCTCTCCGAGCTCTCGTCGTGGCGCTCGCTTCTCGTGGCCCCCTCGGGGCGGTCCCTCGGCCTTAAGGGCCTTGGGCGCCCCTCCTGCCCTCCGTCTTGGTCCGCGGCCTTGAAGACGCAGCCACCCCTTGACCAGAGCCTCTCGCTTCACTCTTCCGATCTCTGATCGAAGGAGCTGCTGAAATGAAGGCAATCCAGTCAATCTGGTCCACCGCCTCGTCACTGGGCGCGAGTCTGAGGGGCCAAGGCGAGGTAATCTTGAATCCCCGCGCAAGAGAAGGTCCCTTCTCAAGAGGTGCCGTCGCTGCTGCACCAGAGCTTTGGCACAGGGCTGTAACAACTGTTGTGGTTCCCCCATGCGGTAAGCCCCACACATCAGGCACATCACCATATGCAAACAGGTCTTAATTAGTTTGGCAACGCGCAAGGTGTAGGTGTACGGGCTGGGGGTCACAACCTCAATTATTAAAGATCGCACAGAGGGGTCAAGGCCGCACAAGACCCCTCCGGGTCGTCTTGCTAACAAAACGCGGGCACGGTCAACGCAACGCCATTAGAGCCCGTTCCATCGGGCCCTGTGAGCTTTACGGCCCGTGGGTAAAACCAGAGCCCTCGGGACCCTGGGAGCCGTGTCTTATGTTCCAATGCCTACAGCCAAAGTCATCCAACTACTCAGATCTTGTTCATACCTGACAGTGTTCTGGGCCATCTCGGGATGTAGTGCGGCCCCGCCGCTGGCGTATTCATCAGCTTTATCATTAACTAGTTTGTGTAGTCTAGCCGCTCCAACTGCACCGTCACCGACATGAGCTTCCCAGTTTCAGTACTGGCGAGAGAAGGGCATCTTCCATATTTCACGGAGCGGCGATCTCCCGCTCGTTGATGCGCGCTGCTCCTGCGGGCCTGAACCGAGGGAGACCTTGCAGTCGACGTGCAGCCTAAACGGCTCTGAACCTTCCTCTGCTTCGAAGTGCTCCAGGGCCCAGAGCAGGGCATAGGGCTCGGCAAAAACAGTACTTTGGGGCAAGAACCCAGGGAGGCTTCCACAAACCGCTCTACCAAGTCTACCTTGATCAGATCATCGATCTGAGTCACCGCCCACCCAGCTCTGGCAACCAAAACGTTGCTGGGGGCATTGCGACTCCCGTCGGATTCCGATCGGTATTTCGTACTGAGCTTGAAGCTTTTCGTTTCGGCTGACCTGTCAAATTATGTTACTTGACCATCCCTTGAGGCGTACCGGGGGTGGCGCCAACCCTCGCCGAGCGCGTTCCTTGGTGGTCTCCAAACCAGGTGGTGAGACACCCGGTGGTGACCCCGATTCCCCCCGGGTTTGGGGACACGCGATCGCCACGAGGTTTTGCGTTTCCTGGGCCAGCCAGCGCTCGAAAACCATTACCCAAATCGGCCAAAACTCACCACCAGGTGTTCTCACCACCACGTTTCGGGACCACCAAGTTCCACTACTCGCAATGTGCCTGCTCATCAACGTCCGAAAAACAATACGTCTGCCTACCTGTTGAATATGTCGTAAATCCCCTGCGGCGGATCCAGGAAATTTGCGAGCAGCTACTTTGCGAGTAGTGGAACGCGCTCGTCTAATCCCTTGAACTTCGACCCCTTGTCCTTGATCCCCTCTTTGCCGCTCCGCCTTCCCCATCTGCGCAGGCGGCTGGAAGGCGATGCTCTCTTGCGCTCGTCTCCTCCTCGACGCCTCCTCCCCTCGCCGTTTGCCCCCGTGGCAGGCAGGGCATCGGCACCGACGCGTCCATCCCGCAGCACGTCCAGAACATCCTGGACCGTCGGTACTGCCAGGTCTGCGGCCCGGGGGACGACGGGTGGCCTGGCAAGCCGATACCGACCGAGGAGCGGTTGTGGAACATGACTGAGGGAAAATGCGATTGCGATGACGAGGACGATGACGTAGATGGTGGCGGTGATGATGTCAATGGTGACGATGTCGAGTCGATGACGATGATAATGATAATGATGATTATGATGGCGGTACTGACGCTGATGATGCTTATGTCGATGTTGACGGAGGTGATGATGCTGATGATGATGCTGTTGATGATGCTGACGATGATGATGACGCTGATGATGATGATGATGATGATGATGATGATGATGATGATGATGATGATGACGATGACGTTGATGATGGTGCTAACGACGCTGATGGTGATTCGGCGAATATGAGTCGTGTTCCTGCTTAATGAGCTTTTGTTCCGCTAAGTGCGCTTCCGATGTGCTTGATCCTGTTGCCAGCCCTGCCTCCTGCTACCGGTGCTACACTGAAGTTCATGCCAAGTTGCACGGTGAGCTCTGGAAAACAATGCCACATCCTCCTCTTCCTCCTCCCGCTCCTCCTCATCGTGCTCCTTCCCTCCCTCTCTTTATCCCGTATCCCCCACAGTGGAAGCCTCTGTCTCATGACCATCTGCACTTGCATTTTGCATATTCGTTGCGCTTGCATGGAGTGCAAATGCATTGCGCTGCACGGCATTGCTTCACAACGCATGGGATTGCATTGGTGTTGCATCACTTCCCATTGCGATGCATTAGCGCTGCGTTGAGAGATCCTCGCAACTATGTCGCGCGCGGGCTCAGAGATATTCTGACCTGAAGTGGTTCAGCCCGTTTCGCCTGAGACATCCTCGCGACTCCAGGCCAAAAGATGCCGCACACGAAGTGGTCTGGCCCGTTTCGCCTGAAACATTCTCGCAATTTTGGTCTCAGAACTGCTGTGGCCTGAGGTGATTTGGTCGAAATCGCCCGAGACAGCCTCGCAACTCTGGACTGGAAGTTTCGACTCGCGAGGTTGTCCGGCCCGTCCCGCATGAGACATCCTCGCAACTTCGGGTTCCGATATGCTCCTGACTAGAGGTGGTCTGGCCAATTTCGCCTGAGATATCTTCGCAGCTCTTGTTTCGGACATGCCGCGACCAAGGTCGTTTGGCCAATTTCGCCTGATGCATCCTCGCAACTCCAGGCTCAGGGATGGTGCGCTCGAGGTACTCTGGCCAGGTTCGCCTGATCCATCTTCGCCTGATCCGGTACTCCGGCCGGAATTCGCTCGGAGGAGGTACTCCAGCTCCAAGATGCCGCGCGAGAGATGGTCAGGCCAATTTCGCCTGAGACCTCCTCGCAAGCCTGTGCGGCGAGATGCCGTGCGCGAGGTATTCTGATCAGGGTTGCCGGAGACATCCTCACACGGGCCCCGAGCGGTAGGAGAGAGAAGTCAGACGGAACCAGGCCCAAGCTACCTGTTACAGTACGGTGCGAAAATCAAATTGTGCCCCATGAGAGGCCCGGGCGCCCCTGCCCCGAGGGAAGAGCTGGTTGGCGCCAAGGCGAAAACACGATTTCTGAGCCACGTGGAGTCTCAGGCGGGGGGCCACCAACCATGCCTCAGTTGACATTTTCGGCGACAGGAAAAAATCAAGGGTGAGGAGGAGAACCAGGAGGGCGAGAAGGGGTGAGAACCAGGAGGAAGAGCATCAGAAACACAATGGCTGGCGAGAACGAGAATCAGAAGAAAAGGAGGCATAAACAAAGCGAGGAGAATGTGGAACATGATGTGGGGGGGAGAAGGGGAGAATGGAAAGGAGGGCGAGGGGAAGAAGGAGGAGGTGCGGGAGGGGGGGGGGACGACGCCAGCAATGACGACGACAGCGCCGACGTCAACGGGCGCGCGCAAATCGGGGGCGCGGGGGCGGTGATTCGGAGGACGCGCAAACAGTATTTGGAGCCACCCTGGTTCAAAGACGCTGCTGGGGATGTTGGATGGAGGCTCTAAATCGGTACGTTGGTGATGTTTTTTTCCACCTCGTCTTCCTCCTTGTCCTGGCATTTCTTCTGCTGCTGCCTCCCCCATCTCTTTCCTGCCCCTCCCCCAGCTCCTCCTTGCAGGCTGTCCCCCTCGTCCTCCTCGTCCCCGCGTGCCCTCCCCGCTCCCCCTCTTTCTCTTCCAGACTCTCGCAGGGCCCCCTTGGGCAATGTTGATGTTGGTGCTAAGAGCGGTTCTGCGCCTGTCGGCACCAGCGTCGCTGTCGATGCGCCCAGAAAGGGGACATGTTCGGCGTCGGTATTTCATAAGAAGATACAGCCAAAGCGAGCAACGTTCCGCTGCCGATCGCGCCTCGTGCCCTGGGCTCCTAGGCGTTTGCCGAATCCTATGCGTTCTTAGCAGGGCCGCCCGGGTGGCCCTGCTGAGAGCACGCGGAGCGGCAAGCGCTTAAGATCTATGCGGCGGCCTCTGCTGAGATGGGGCCTTCGAAGGAGGGGTCTTCTCGGCAGGGGTACCCGGGTGTCTCTGCTGAGAGGGCGCGGGTCTGATGTCTGACCTTGGGAACGTCGTTTCGCCCCGAGGAAACGAGCCCCGCTCGGAAGGCGTCGTCTTATCGAGCCCAGCCGACGGTCCTGGGGCCAGACCCGCGCCCTTTCAGCAGAGGCACCCGGGCGCCCCCGCTGAAAAGAGCCTTGTAGCGCAGGCCGCCTCTCGGCGGAGGCCGCCATGTAGATCTTGGGCGTTGGCCGCGGCGTTGGCCTGCCGCCCGCGCGTGCCGCGGCGAGTGGCCGCCCATTCATCCGATGCGCGATCGTCGGAGTCGTGGCCGTCGTCGGCATCTGGGCCCTCATCGCCGTTGTCGTCGTCGTCGTCGTCGTCGTCGTCGTCGTCGTCGTCGTCGTCGTCGTTATCGTTTTCGTCGCCGTCATCATCGTCGTCGGCGTCGTCGTCATCGTCGTCGTTGGCGTCGTCGTCGCCGTCGCCGTCATCGCCGTCGCGCACATCGTCGCGCTCGCTTTCGCAACCGACGCCGCGAGGCGCCGCTGCAATCGTTATTGTCGTCGCAGTGATCGCCGGCGCCGCCGGCGTAGATTGCAGTCGACGCGATCGGTGGGTCGTCGCCATCGCTGCGATCCACGCCGTCTTGGCTAAAACCGTTATAGCTGCTCATCTCCATCCTCCGCTGTGCCTTCTTCTGCCTTCTGATGCTATTCGCCCCCTCGGACTCCAGATCCTCTTTATGTTCTCCTTGGACACGCGGGAAGGGCAGGGGCCATGGGTGAGGGAGGGGCGGGGGTGAGATGTGGGAAGCGAGCAAGAGGTGGAAGGGCGGCAGGAGGAAGGCGGGGGGCGGGGCAGCGGCAGCAGCAGAGCGAGGGCCAGGACAAGGAGGAGGAGGGGAGGAGCCGGAGTCCAGCATCCCCAGCAACGACTTTGCATCGTAGGTGGCATCAGAATTCGTTTGCGTGCCATCTGAATCATCGCCCTCCTGTTCCTGATTGGCATGCGCCCTAGTCGTTGTCGCTGTCGTCATCGTCGTTGTCGCCGTCCTCATGTGCTTTGTGCTTTTCGCCGCCCGCATTCCCGCGCGACCTCGTCGTCATCTCCCTCCTCCTCTTTCGCATGCCGTTCCTCCTTCCCCCTCCCCCCTCCTCCCCCTCCTCCTCCTCCTCCTCCTCCTCCTCCTCCTCCTCCTCCTCCTCCTCCTCCTTGTCGCCGCTGATCCGTGGATCCGTGGATGCGACCCGCCATCGCTCAGATCGTGCGAGAGATCCAGTCAGAGGAGTTTGGCAAGTTCAAGCAGTCGCGCATCGGTGAGATCTCGAAGGGGGTCGTTGCGTCAATCGAGAAGGTGTTGCCACCGTCGATCTCCAACAGCACGATGCCCTTGCTCAGCGGCATCGAGGAGCGCATGTCGGCTCGCTTGAACTCGATCGTGGCCCAGCTGGTGGCGACCGACGAGAGGATCACGAAGCTGGAGGCGGAGAACCAATCCCTGGTCGAGAGGATGGAGCGGCTCGAGAAGGTCTTCGATCTGGCGAAGGCGGTGCCGCGGGTTCCCGTGGCGCGAACCGCAGACTGGGACAGGCCGCGGGACCTCTCCATCTTCGCCATCAACGCGCGAGAGGCCATTCCCGTCTCGGCGTTGGCGGAGGCGCTCCAGCCGTGGATGGGGGCGCGCGGGTATCAGGTGGGTCGCGAGTGCAGGCTGGGAGGACCCCAGATGGCGAAGTCCTTTGTGCTGCGCTTTGGGTTCGCGGACGCGGAGACGCACCTCGCGGCGGAGGCGCGCGTTCGACGCGCACATGCTGCGTTTCGTGAGGGCTCCGGTCGCTGGCGACGGTTTCGGACGATTCTCCCGGGCGACCGTGTGGTGGAGATATTTGTCGGGTTGGACAGGCAGGGCGTTGCCAGAGAGAGGGCTTGCAAGCAGCTCAAGACGGCCATCGCAGAGGCCCTGCAGAATGATGTTTTTGTCGATCGGGATGCTGGCGCGCTCATCATGCAGTGGCAGCCCATCGCGAAGGTCGAGGTGCATCCCAGCGACCCGCCTCGGATCCGCTGGAACCTGGCGTCGTTGGCCGACCTTGGCCTGGAGCGAGCGAGGCTTGCTGCTCTCGCGGACCGCGTGGTCTCCAGAGTGCAGGTTCAGTGGGGTGGGTAACACGTTAGTCGGATCGACATCGGTGACATTCACAACCTGGAACACGAGGGCCCTCTGCCACCATCGTGCTGCGGGATGTGCTCGTCGTCTTCGGGTTCTGACCGGTCTCGCTGCCTCCCCCTCCGCCTCCTCTTCTATTGTTCTTGCGTTGCAGGAGACCCACGGGGGTGTCGCTGCCATCGAAGAAGCTGCTCAGCGTGCTGGTCTACCGCATCAAACTGTTGCCTAATACGTGGGGGAATCTCAAGCTGGCGGCGTTGCTACTTTAATCCCCCCCTCCCCCCCCCGGCCCCTCCCGTGATAACTGAACTCCGTGATGCGGGTGTCTGTGGGGGATTCTCGTTTTAGAGATTTTGAATACCTCCTCGGGCTTCCGTCTCTGGCACTGGAATGTGCACAACTTTGGTTTGAGT